CACCAATTCGTGAAAAATACTTGCGCCTAAATCTCCATATTCTCCATTTGGTCTCCACCTTTTGGTTGCTCAATTAAACCTTCAGCCATCCATAGCAAGACTAATTCCTCCTCCGTGAATCCGTAGTCCTTTGGGATAATTGCACAGTAGGAAAAGCACCTCTTCAACTGGACAGGGAGATGAAGGTAGCTCAATTTCAATGCTGTGAGAATGCCACTTTCCTCATTCCATATATTGCTGTTTAGTATCTCTTTCCATTCACATTCTTCTTGTTTACAGCACAATAAGCTGCCAAGAGCCCTCGCTGCCAAAGGTAAGCCTCTGCACCTGTTCTCAACAATTTTCTTACCAATTGATTCCAATTCTTTGTATTCCTCAATATTTCTGTTCTGAAATGCATGTTGGGAAAAGATTAACCAACAATCGCCATATGATAAGTTGTGCAAATTGTGATATTTATCCATTCCCATCTGCTTTGCAACACCTCTGTCTCGCGTTGTCACAATGATTTTACTTCCAGGTGCTCCAGCTCCAAATGGGGATCGTAACAAATTCCACCCATCACGTCCATAGTCCCACACGTCATCTAGGACAAGCAAAAACTTTTCCCCTGCCACCGTTTTGCTAAGTTGGACTTGAACCTCATTTAAGTTACTAAAATTACATGAACCGTGAGTGAACGACTCGAGAATTGCCTTTGTTATCCTCGTAACTTCGAAGTCATCAGATACACATACCCATGCTTTTAGATTGAAATAATTTTCCACTCGGTCATCATTGTAAATGTGCTGAGCTAGTGTAGTCTTGCCGATCCCACCCATTCCTACAATAGGAATTACATCAAAAAAGTTTCCAGCAGGAGCATCCGCAAGCAGCAATTCGATAATTTGCTTGATGTCTTCATCTCTGCCATGAATGTGAGGCTCCTTCAAACATGTAGTTTGTGATCTCTGCCGTAAATCTGTAGACATCCTCCCAACAAGTCTGTTATCTAAACCAAGTTCTTTTCCTTTTGTAGCAACTTCTTGTAATTGACTAGTAATCTCAATTAGCTTTGACCCATTTTTTAAATTGAATGGAACAATATCGGAGAGGCGTGGAAACTTAGCTGGTCTTCTTTTGATCGTCGTCTCGTCTGCCATTAGCTTCCTTTCGAGATCGTCAATGGCAAAATCATCCAATATGTCATCTGCATCGTAAGCCAAATGGTAAACCTCTTCAAGCCACTTTTTGATATCCTTGTGGTATATCTGTTTGTTCTCTGCATCAGCCAACAGAGTCTCTAAATCCTCTAATGCCTTCTTCAGATTGTGGATGCCAGTGCCAACGTCCACTGTGCTCACTAAGTTGCTAAAATAAGAGGACAATTTATCAACCATAGCTTGTATGAATGGAGAGATAAAGATCCCAAATACATCCATGGTGTTTGTTCTGAAAGAAGGAAAGGTAAGAAATTGAAGAACAGGTTTACGGCAAAATACAGATAAACAGACTTTGGTGGTAAAGGTAAGAAATTGAGTCAAAATGAAGCAATACACAGATCAAGAACAGGCAGAACCTCTACAAACTTGGAACAACTTTGGCAAATAAAAGATATGAAAGGTAAGAAACGAAGCATACAGAGATCAAAAACATGCTGAAACGAAGCAAACTTCAAACAACTTTGGAATTATGAAGGATATGAAAAGCCAGAAACTCTTCAAAAACAAAGCAATACAGAGATAAAACAAACAAACAGTTTGAAGAAGCTCTGCAAATGTGTAGTAGCTGAAGATTGTAAGTTTTGACCAAAAGCAAATAAGTGGTGAAAGAAGGGTTATGAAGAAATTAGAAATCAACAATAATGGAGTCTCATCTCATTGGCCATTTCACCAGGTTGTTTGCTACCTACTTTTTTATTAATTTCTCTGTATAATTGGTGGATGTGATCAGGAAGAGATAGGAATAGAGAGAGACAGAGAGGCCGGCCTTTTATGAATAATGTTTAATATTGCTGAATTTTTATTCTCCTTGGACTTCTTGGCTTCTAGTCTTTTTTTATTTTTGTTTTTAAAATCATTTTCTAGTTCTTTTATGGGATAGGTACAGATGTAAGAGTATGATAAAGCATAGGCTCACTAACCATCTATATTCCATCACATGTGCCTCTATAATAATCAAATTTCTGAAAAATTAAATATTTAGTTGTGTTTGGTTCATGGATTTCGAAAAGGATAGGGAAAGGAAAAAGAAAAAAGTAGGTGAAATGTCAATAAAATATACCTATATTTTATTGAGTTTCACGCACCTTTTCCCTCTCCTTTTTCAAATCTCTCTTCAAATCTATGAACCAAACACATCATTAAAAGTTGGCAACCTTCCTAGATTTGAGCTTTGTGGTCTGAGTGTTCTATTTCAATAATTTATTAGTCACCTCACCTAGCGGCTTATTAAAAATTTAATTAACGGTTTTACCATTTTGTTTCAAAAAATACATCTGAAATTGTCAACTTTTTTTCATTTAGTATTCGATTACACGCCAAGCCAAACAAATTGCCCCTTTATTCAGAATTAACTTTAGTACTTGATGCATTAATTTCAAATCAAGGAGTAGTAATAGTATTCACTGAGATCTCTCATGGAAGTGGTGAACTTTGCTGGTCAAACTATAAAGGTATATATGATCATAATTTTTTTTGAAAATACTGTCTTGAAAAGTAAAAAAAAGAAAGAACATTTAGCGATAAACTTTTTAAAATGTCACTTATAAAAGTATATTCAGGGACAAAAATAAATTCGTACGAAAAGGTTTATTTTTGTGACGAAAATTTTGGTTCCAAAAGCATAGTAATTCATTATGAAATTTTCAATTTCATTGCTAAAAGTACAACAATGACACTTTTGGCAACTAAGATAATTTGTCCCTAATTGTTTTCTCTCTAATACGTAAATTTGTTGTGGTGATGACCAGATATGGGCAAGTTCGGATCAAGGGAAGAAATTAGTCATAGCATATAGATTTTGTGGAGATTATTAGAATCCAAATATTGAGAGTTGCTCAAAGCTGTATGTATCTCACCAGCAGAATTAACAAAAGAAACAAAATAAATTTCCAAAACAGATTCATAGGTTGCCACTATATGTGGATCTTTCCGAGAATCTACAATTGAGGTGGGTTTTATTTTATGTTTCCAGAGAAAATAAAGTGAAATATCCTTGGAAACCCATTGGATACACTAAATGCAAATTGTTTGGACATAACGAAATGAAATGCTTTGTCGGAAATAAAATGAAAAGCAGTGGAAAGTGAAATCAACAAATGAAAATCCTGAAACGGAAGAGTGGGTCATTATTACTTAGAAAATAAAATAAAAATAAAAAATTGAAATCGAGGAAAAGATGGATATTGGGGAATGCTCCGACACTGTTTTCGAAGAAATTTCAAAGAAAAGGGATTGTCAAATGCAAGGTGCTATTAGGTAGGCCTCTCATTTTGTCGCATTGATGATATTATTAGGACCTGTAGGTTAATTAAACAATGTGAACAAAATGATTAGCTTTAAGGCAGATTAGAAGGGGAATGATGCATATTAATAAATGCTTTCCAAATTGAGAACACATTATAGAAATGTTTAGGAAATAGTTTAATTAAATGACGCTAATTAATGAACCAAGCTTACAACTAAAAGACCTGTCAATAATACCCATACCTGATTTGAAAACAATAAACAGAGAGATGTTTGGAAATTCATAAATGAGAATAAAATGAGAAAGAAAGAGATACTCTTACACTGTTTTCTTTTACTTCCCTTCCACAAATACCTCCTTAAATCCTTTATCCAAACACAACTTAAAAGTTTCAAAGTTGCAAACCTCTGAACAATTATTACTTGCAGAGTTGAATTTCTGGATAATAATATGAAGTCCTGTTTTGTATCCCCCCTTGGGATGAAGATACTCTCAAAGAAATCGAAGATGATTTCTTGGCCCCTATAGGTTCAGATCATTGTCCTCCTGTTGTTACTTTGATGCCTGGCATTGAATTGAGAAAAACTTTCCAAATTCTTTAGTTTTTGGATGAGACATGGGAATATCAAGCAGATTCTTCAAATTTTTGAAAATTCGAATAGTAACACATTCTCAAGTGTTGAGAAATGAGTCCCAAAATTAAAAGACTCAGTCTGGTTTTAGAGAGTTAAGCAAACTGCTCTAACTTCAGCTTGAGAGTGATTTAGCTCGCCATATAACCATAATGAACATGAGGCCCTTCAGCATTATATCAATCTCTATTTTGCAGAAGAATCATCCCACAAGTTGATAGCCATAGAATGAGGAATAATATTCTCAGCCTATACGACAGTAATGGAATGAAATTAGATTAGATAAATGAGTTTAAGGCTTTGACAATATGTGTGGTGTAGATATATTATGTATGTCCACATACATGATATATGTATTTCTGTCTTTTTCCCCTAGACAATTTTATACTCGACTCCATAGTTTTTTTATTTTACTTTGGCAGGTATTATGTTCCAAGGTCCAAACTAGCATTTTGCGCTGCGAACATCTACTAAACTGAACACAGAATCAAACCTTTGTTTAAGTAAATGAGTTACTCAATAGTTGTCCTCTCTAGAACAAAAATAAAAATAAAAATTAGCATTTCAATACAAAAATGGAACCACTCAATAGTTCTCATCTTGGAAATTTGAAAGGGGGAACAAATACTGAAAAACCATTGAGCTAAATCATTGATGAGGTCATGCATAATGAATAGGAAATCGTAATCACTTGAGGATTGAAAATATGACCTTGATACCAATTCTTGAAAATTCTTGTGACCTAAGTCTTCCATTTGCTCTTGACCATTTGATTATTCAATTAAACCTTCAGCCATCCATAGCAAGACTAATTCCTCCTTCCCAAATTCGCAGTCCTTTGGGATAATTGCGTGGTAGGAAAAGCACCCCTTTAAATGAGAAGGGAGATGAAGGTAACTCAATTTCAATGCTGGGAGAACGCCACTTTCCTCATTCCATATATTTCTGTTTAGTATCTCTTTCCATTCATGTTCGTCCTGTTTACAACGTAGTAAGCTGCCAAGGGCCTTGGCTGCCAATGGCAAGCCTCAGCACCTATTCACAACAATTTTCTTACCAATTGATTCCAATTCTGGGTATTCCATGATATCTCTATTCTCAAATGCATGTTGGTAAAAGATTAAACAACAACTATCATTTGATAATTTCTTCAACTTGTAATATTCAATTGATGTTTGTAATGCAACATTTGTGTTTTGTGTTGTCACAATAATTTTACTTCCAGGTGCTCCAGCTCCAAATGGCGATCGTAGCAAATTCCACCCATCATATCCATAATCCCACACATCATCTAGGACAAGCAAAAACTTTTTTCTTCCAGTGTGTGTTTAAGTTGAACTTGAACATCATTTAAGCTGCCCAAATTACATGAACGATGAGTGAACGACTCGAGAATTAACTTTGTTATTCTCAGAACGTCGAAGTCATCAGAAACACAAAACCCATGCTTTCAGATTGAAATGCTTTTCCACTTGGTTGTAATTGTAGATGTGCTGAGCTAGTGTAGTCTTGCCAATCCCACCCATGCCTACAATAGGAGTTACATCAAACTTTTTTGCAGTAGGTGCATCCTCAAGTAGCAATTCGACAATTTTCTTGATGTCTTCATCTCTGCCATGAATGTGAGGCTCCCTCAAACATGTACTTGGTGCTATTGGACATATGTTTGTAGACATCTTCCCAACAAGTTTTTTTTTATCTAAACCAAATTCTTTTCCTTTCGCAGCAATTTCTTGCAATTGACTAGTAATCTTTTTTAGCTTAGACCCATTTTTCGAATTGAACGGAACAATAGAGAGTCGTCGAAACATAGCTGGTCTTCTTTCCATCATCTTCTCCTCTGCCATTAGCTTCCTTTCGAGAGCTTCAGTGGCAAACTCGTCTAATATGTCATCTGCATCATAAGCCAAATGGTGCACCTCTTCTAGCCACTTCTTGATATACTTCTTGTATATCTGTTGGTTCTCTGCATCAGCCAACAGAATCTCTATATCCTCAAATGTCTCCTTCAAATTCTGGATGCCAGTGTCAATGTCCTCTCTGCTCACTAAGTTGATTAAAAAAGAGGAGGCCAATTTATCAACCATAGCTTGTACGAATGGAGAGATAATGGTCGTTAATGCATCCATGTATTTTATTGTGAAAGAAGGAAAAGTAAGAAACAAAGCAATATTGCTATCAAAAGCACGTTGAAGAAGCTCTGCAAATTTGGAACAACTTTGGTGGGTAAAGGGGATAAGCAAGGCAAGAAACAAAACAATACAGATATCAAAAACAGGCTAAAGAACATCCGCAAAATTCAAACAACTTTAGATGATGTGAAAGCTTATAAACTGAGCTAGAATGAAGAATACAGAGATGAAAACGAACAGTTTGAAGAAGCTCTGCAAATGAGTAGTAGTTGAAGATTGTAAGTTGTCAAAAGCAAATGAGAACGTGATGAAAGAAGTGTATGAAGCAGAGTCCTCCCAGATCTACTTTGAAATCATTAAAAAAATAAATAAATAAATTAAAAAAAAAAGGGAGTCAAATAATGGCATCTCATCTCATTGGCCCATTTTCCAGTTAAGTTGTTTGCTAATTTTATTTTATTTTATTTTATTTTTTATAGGGTAAATTACAAATACACATATGAAATTTACTTAAAATATGATTTGTCCTCTATAATTTTGAAAATTACATCCCACTCCTTGAAGTTTCAATTTCATAACAAATAATTCCTTTTATTAATAAATCATCAAGACAATAAATAATTTTTAATGATGTCATAAATTTATCTTAATTAATAATTTGGATAAGAGTAATTTTATTATTGTATAGGAGCTCAGGAATTTTATTTTTTCAATTAATTCTGTTAAATAAAAAAT